GAGAGTGGCTTTGATGTGAAATATTGAAGGTGAAAAATGTTGATATACTTTATTTAGTTTCTATTTGGATTGAGGATGTTAATGCCATGTTTTGTGGTTGAGAGTAGGCCTGTAAATGAGTCGAGCTTGAGCTGAGAGTGCTCGAGCCCTTAACAAGCTGAGTTGAGCTCGACTTGTTAAATAAACGAGCATAAAATTGAGTTCGAGCTCGAGTCATTTATCATAAATAACGAGTTGAGTTTGTGCCTTAACGAGCTAATCTGGAGTTTTAACGAGTCAAACTATAAAAAATTATAAAAAAATTCTGTTTTTGAACCTTAATGAGCTTTAAAATGAGCTCGAGTTCGGCTCGTTATGAGCTCGAGCTCCGCTTGTTTATCAAATGAGCCGAACTCGAGACGAGTCAAGCTAGACTCGTTTAGTTTAGCAGCACTGATTGAGAGTGACTTAATTAATATATATGAAATCATAAAGTTTTTTAAATAGTTAGGTTACTCTTACTCAAGCGTAAAGCTTAGGTGTCCATACATATTTTTTCATTTTCAAACTAACACTGACGTATTTTCTTTAAAAATATATGACAGGGCAACTCGTCCTATTGTTAGAACGTCTTCGCACAAGAATTTTTGTGTTTCTCTTAATACAACAACAACAAATAAAAAAATAATATTTCATAGCATAAACATGTATATTCGTGAAAAAATTATGACGGATCAACCTATATACTTTATTAGTTAAGTTGACCCATATAAAAATTTGTGAAACAACAGGTAACACAATTTTACCACAAATATTATTGGTGTAAGGGCTTAAGTTATACATTTTGAATAAAATTGTATATTTATAATTAAACAAATGTTGTATATTTATAATTGTTTTCATTCGGTATGATTATTTGATATTATAGTCTATATAAAATTGAACCAATGCGGAATATGAGCTAGTTAAATTGAGTTGTCATTAGAGATTAAGTCCTACCCATTTCTTTATATTTCCATTACCCATTCAATTATTTGATCAAGTCATCGATAAAATTAATTTGACCCATCACATCACGGATTAAACATGTCGTGCCCTTGATAAAAATTAAAAAGAGTGCATTCAATTGAGACTTTTAAAATTTTTTTAAATTGGATGATTTTAATGGACTTTGTAAATTTTCATGATTTTAAAGGACATTTTCAGACTTTCATAGATAAATTTGATACATGTATAGTATATCACTACAAAAAATTGATATATTCTAACGCAAAATCCTATGATAATATATTTCAATGAAAATTTCAACGGATATTTCAATTGTATAGCTTTCGTTGGAATGATTCCAACGGAAATATTCCGTTGGAATGTATTTTTCATTAGAATTTTAGATGAAATTTGATGATTCCAACGGCTTTTGACCGTAAAAATTTCCGTTGGTATTTTTATTTCCACAACCATTAGAAAATCTACCGTTGAAATCGTCAAAATCCAACTGAAATTCCAATGAAAAACTCATTCCAACGGAATATTTTTGTTGGAGTTTCCGTTGGAATTATTCCAACAGAAATAATAGCATTGAAATATCCATTGAAATTGTCATTGAAATTCTATTGGAATATATTTCCGTCGGAATTTCATCATTTTCTTGTAATGTATAATTAATATTGATAGATAATTTAATGTTATTTATAAAATTTAGATAAAAATATTTTTTAATTTATATATAAAATATAAATATCAAAGTAAAAATCCATCAAAATTGATGATTTAATATATGAAAACTGTAAAAGAAAAATTGTCTTAAATCCACATTTTACACTTTATTTACAGTTTTAAGTTAACCAAGTATTGTAATTTTAATATAAAAATTTAAATCTACACGATCTACTCTAAATTACAGAATATTTAATATGAAAAATTACGTTATCATTCAAACGTCATAAATAGAATTTCCAATCTAAAATTAAGGGAATCTTTGAATTTTTTATACAACCTGGTCTCCTATTATTCTCTTGTGTACTGTAAAAATTTGTCTTTTGCTTTTACAAGAAAGGAAATAAATAAAAAAAAAATTATTTGTTTTCTATTAAAAAAAATATATAAACGGAAAGCAAAGCATGTAAGGGCGGGCCCTGGTTTGTCGGTTTATTGACTTCAGGCATTGTCACGTGTGTTTTCATTAGTGGGGCCCACTTTACGCTGGCGAGGTGGCATATGAATATTTAATAATTAATTAACTCTAAATTCATAAATTGTTTCAGTTGACTTGGATCATATATTATGCACAAAAGAATACATACATAATACAAAATTAGGAAAAATATAGATAAATGAATCTGAAATTTGTCGGGACAACTTTAACTACAAATAAAACATAAAATAGGTACAAAACTATTTTTTTCTTCTTACAATTTTTAAACATGATTATAACCGTTAAATAATATGATCGATTTCTCAAATTGACTCGTTAAGAGTAGAGCCCTACTAGGCTCATTTGATAAATGAGTTAAGCTCGAACTTGTTTAAGTAACGACATGAGCGGAGCTCATCTTGTTAAGACTAAAAAGTAAATATTTTATGTAATTTATATAACTCGATTAGTTAAAACTTGATTTCAACTCGTTAATATTGAAAGATGAGTTAATTTTATTGACTCGATTAATTATGGAAACGAGCAAAAAAGAAAAAACTAAGGGCTCGAATTTAGCTCAACTTATTTACACACTAATTTTTGTTTATCCAAAATAACTTTACTGAAACTTCATTCATTAATATTATTTTCGTAAATTTTCAATTTGATCAATTTAATGGTAATTTTACATAGAAATTAAATTTCGGCTGACAATTTGACAACATGCACAACTCATCAAAATTTCAACCAAAAATTTAAATTTCTATCAGAAATTTCCATCAAATTGATTAATTTTAAAATCAACATAACTACTACTTTCAATTAATTAAATTACAATAAAACTTAATTTAAATACGTCTCATATTTACGGACTACTTTTCTTTTTTCTTGTTAGAAGTATCTCAGTCAATGTGAAAAATCAAACATAGGATTCGGAAAATCAATGGCCAGTAAAAATAATAATTTGTGTTTCAACTCAAGGCTACACTCAGAAGTCAAAAGTCAGATTCATAAACAATTAATTACACTTTTCCTTAATTATGCTCAGTTTTGCAGAGTAATCAACACATGCAATTATATCCAGGAATTTGTAATATAAATGCGATTAATGCATTGAATCTATATATAATAAGAATTAACATTTACCAAAAATAGTAGCAAAAAAATAGGTCAATAATTTAATGCAACCTATAAATAGTAAATTTTATTATTTTTCTTATTTTTTTCTTTAAAAATCATACAACATTAAATGCTACTTTAAATTTCGGGCTTTAGTTTATTTTATTATTTAAAAAATCCGGCTAAGATTTATTAAGTGTGTATGTTTTTATTTTTATTTTTTTTCTTAGAAACAACAAACAATATTAAATCTCGGTCTTTATATTTATAAAATCTCAATTCAAAATATAACAAAAGTTTTTGAATCTCGGTCTTTATATTTGTGCTTTAAAAAAAATTGGACGCTAAAAATATTCTTTAAATTGCATAATCAATCAATTAATCTTAATTTTTTGAAAATTACTATGTTTAATTAAGTCATCTTTAGATATATAATTTAAAATCTTAATATACTATCATTTGGTGTAGACATATATTATATGAATCATAAAATATTTTTATTTCATAAAATTAAATATATTTAAAGAAAAAAAGAAAATTTCTTCGGATCAATCGGGTGATTGAATTAGGGTACTGCCCAGGTTGATTGAATTGCATTTAGGTGATATTTAAAATAGTCAAAAAACTTGACACAACTTAGTTGATCCCAGGTGACGAAGTTATGTATCAGTTCGACCACACCAAATCGATTATTGAACCTAAATATAATTTTATATTGAAAATATTTTATTACGTGAATGTGATGTAGTCCAAACTTCAAAAAATCGTATTAACAATACTTTTATGACAACATGTTTAATGATTTATGAATATTTATATATCATTTTATTAATATTTATGTGAATTAAATAATATTTTATTATAATATTTATTAATGTACAGTAAATATAAGGTTTTCTGACTGGACCATCATCGAAACGATCAAGCTATTATATTAAATCATTTGTGGTTTGTTCAGATTTTAATTTATGAACATTTTAATATATATATATATATATAGAGTACATTTTGTAATAAATTTAAATAAAATGTGTTACTTAGATATCTAAACAATTTATAAATTCAAATGTTTAAACTAATTGATAAATAATTTATAAATCTCTATTTTATTTAAATATGTAATTTTATTTAAAATAATAAAATTTACTTAGAAAAGTATATCGATCCTATCAGTCCAACCGACTGGTGTTGACGGATTCGAGAGCAAATATTTTATTCAAGCGAACTAGACTGGTTATAAACCGGTTCTCGATCTATCCGGTCGGACTGTGTTCAACTCGATTTAATTTAAAAATAATGGATAAATCATGATTAATGTTATTTATATATTTAATTTATAATATAATCGTAATATTTTTTTCCCGTGCATCGCACGGGCCATGCACTAGTTTGGGTTAATGATCCCCGGTGTTTATTGAGATTAAAGCTTAATTAAAGTCTTCAATTTGCGTAATACTGAAGGCTTTGCATCGAATTCAAAACAAAATCATTAAATAAATCAGTAATTGATTGATTGTCAGGTGACAGATCTGTAGCAAAATTCATTTCCTTGTGCATAGGACAAGATAAAGTGAATAAGCGTCAAATTATTAATTTATTCGTGTGAAAAGAAATACTACTACTTAATAGATACTACTCCGGTACTGTATGTGACTAAAAATTAGAGTATAATATTTCAAAATAAATTTCAGTTAATTTAATGTTATACTTTTATTGAAAAATCCGATTTAAATTAAGTTTTTTTAAA